TTACTTCATATTTTTTATGCCATTGTAGTAGTATGTCTGGATAATTCAAATTCCTTATTCTTCATTGCTACTCTATAGAAATATAATTTGGCACAAAAACAGACACTCAGATCAATGGAACAGAATAGAGAACCCAGAAATGGACCCACAAACATATGGCCAACTAATCTTTGACAAAGCAGGGAAGAACATCCAATGGAATAAAGACAGTCTCTTCAGCAAATAGTGCTAGGAAAACTGGACAGCGACATGCAGAAGAATGAAACTGGACCACTTCCTTACACCATACACAAACATAAATTCAAAATGGATGAAAGACCTAAATGTAAGACAGGAAGCCATCAAAATCCTCAAGGAGAAAGCAGGCAAAAATCTCTTTGACCTTGACCGCAGCAACTTCTTACTCAACATGTCCCCAAAGTCAAGGGAAACAAAAGCAAAAATGAACTATTGGGACCTCATCAAGATAAAAAGCTTCTGCACAGCAAAGGAAAAAATCAGCAATACTAAAAGGCAACCGATAGAATGGGAGAAGATACTTGCAAAAGACATATCAGATATAGGGTTAGTATCCAAAATCTATAAAGAACTTACCAAACTCAACACCCAAAAAATAAATAATCCAGTGAAAAAATGGGCAAAAGACAGGAATAGACACTTCTCCAAAGAAGACATCCAGATGGCTAACAGATACATGAAAAAAATGCTCAACATCACTCATCATCAGGGAACTACAAATCAAAACCACGAGATACCACCTCACACCTGTCAGAATAGCTAAAATAAACAACTCAGGCAACAACAGATGTTGGCAAGGATAGGAAGAAAGAAGATCTCTTTTGCACTGCTGATGGGAATGCAAACTGGTGCGGCCACTCTGGAAAACAATATGCAGGTTCCTCAAAAAATAAAAAATAGAACTACCCTACAACTACCCTACTACCCTAGTGCAATTGCACTACTAGGTATTTATCCAAGGGATTCCGGTGTGCTGTTTCGAAGGGGCACATGCACCCCAATGTTTACAGCAGCACTATCAACAATAGCCAAATTATGGAAAGAACCCAATGTCCATCCATGGTTGAATGCATAAAGAAGATGTGTGTGTGTGTGTGTGTGTGTGTGTGTGTGTGTGTGTGTGTGTAATGGAGTATTACTCGGCAATCAAGAAGAATGAAATCTTGCCATTTGCAAGTACATGGCTAGAACTAGAAGGTATGATGCTAAGTGAAATTAGAGAAAGACAAATATCATATGACTTCACTCATATGAGGAATTTAAGATATAAAACAGATGAACATAAGGGAAGGGAAGCAAAACAAATATAAAAACAGGGAGGGGGACAAAACAGAAGAGACTCTTAAACACAGAGAACAAACTGAGGGTTGCCGGAGGGGCTGTGGGTGGGAAGATGCGCTAAATGGGGAAGGGGCATTAAGGAGGACACTTGTTGGGATGAGAACTGGGTGTTATACGTAGGGGATGAATCACTGGAATCTACTCCTGAAATCATTAGAGCACTATATGCTAACTAACTTGGATGTAAATTTTTAAAAAAGAAAGAAATACAATTGATTTTTTAACGTTTATTTATTTTTGAGAGAGACAGAAAGCACAAGCAGGGGAGGGGCAGAGAAAGAGAGGGAAACAGAATTTGAAGGAGGCTCCAGGCTCTGAACTGTCAGCGCAAAGCCTGACACAGAACTTGAACCCATGAACCCTGAGATCACGACCTGAGCCAAAGTTGGACGCTTAACCACTGAGCCACTTGGGCGCCCCACGGTTGATTTTTTTTAATTGATCCTGTGTCCTGTTACCTTGCTAAATCTGCTTTTTTGCTGGATTTCTTAGGATTTTCTACATAGGTGATTATGGCATCTGCTAAGAAAGAGTTTTACTTCTTTCATATCTGCATGCCTTTTCTTTTCTTTTTCTTGTCTTACTGCACTGGCTGGCAATCCAGTATGATGCTGAATAGAAGTAATGAATATAGACATCCTTGATTTGTTTCCAATATCAAGGGGAAAGCATCAGTCTTTCTCATTAAGTATGATGTTGACTATAGAGTTTTCATAAATGCCCTTTACCAAGAAGATCAAGTTATACCTTCTATTCTAAATTTGCTGAATTTCTGTTATAAATTGATGTAGAATTTTGTCAAATGCTTCTGCTGCTACTAAAATTATGTTTTTTTTTTAAAAAGTGAACTACACTGATTATTTAAATGTTAATTAGTTTTAAATGTAAGTAGTTTTAATGTCAAACTAATCTTGCATTCCTGGGATAGACCCTATTGTTCATGAGATACACACACACACACAGTTTACTAAAATTTTTTAAGGTTTTGCAGAGTATTGATCTGTTTTGTTTGTTTTTTTTCTTGAATTGTCATTGTCAGGTTTTGGTATCACACTAATGCTGGCCCTACAAAATGACTTGGAAAGTGTTTCCTTGACTCTTCTATTTTCTGAAAGAATTTGGACAGAATTAGTGTTATTTCTTACTTAAACATTTGCTAGAATTCCCAATGAAGCTATCTAGCTGAGAGTTTTCTTTGTGGGGAAACTATTTTTAATACAGGAACAGCTTACCTTTGCAGTCTCTACCAACACAGTGTAGCTCTAAGAATGAAAGGAAATCAAGTTCTGAAAATCACTGTTACCTAAATAATGCTTCCAACACACACAGTTCTACTAGACACTGTGTTTCCCTGGCTTTTTTATACTGGGAAGCAATTTAAATTATTTCAATAGTCTTTTCAGATATAAGAACAATGCTTTTTATACTTTCTTAAAGTTATCTGGTCTGCAGCTAAATACCCCACCAGCCAACAGGAATACATATAACTGATTTCTGTCAGTGTTGCTAGAATGTTTCCCCTCAGCCCTGTGCCTTTGCTTTGGTCAGGCTACATAAGTTAAAGGTGAGGGAGGTATAGAAACATGACTTAACTATCCATGAAATTTTTTTGGAAAAATATTATAAGCTTGTAACAATAAGCTTAAGCAATAATATAAAAGTTACATAAAGGCTGCCTCCATTATTTGTAAATAAGAAAACCAAATATCAACACCATTGCATTGCTATGCTATAAACTAAGGGAAGGCAAAAAGCATATCTCTCTCCATTGTTTCCGTCAGGAAGGACTGACATAAACAATTGCAAAGCGTCTAGCATGGCCCCTGACACATTTTGGGCACTCAGAAAACATTTATGGGAGGAAGGGAAGTGTCGAATTCACACCTGCATTACTATGACTGCTTGGCAAGTTGAATACTGCCTGCTTTATCTATGTAAACAAGGGGAAATGTCATTCTCCTTAAAGCCATTCACTGTCTCATGAGCTCATTCTGTTCCTTCCTCCTCTGTGTCTTTGTTCCTTGAGGCCTTCTTTCTCTATAAATCTGTGTCATCTATAAGAACTCCCTTCTTCAGGGAGGCTTTCTTCACACTCTTTCTTAGCATCCAATAGCATTTATGGATTCTGCCACACTACTTAGCATTTAATCCACAGTGGATTTTACCCCTTTACTAGTGTCCATCACTGTTCTGGGCATATGCATCTGGAACAATCTTGCATGCCAAGGCTCTTTACAAAGGCTGAAGTATAGCCTCAAGATCTGTCGTGAAAACTCTTGGGTGTTAAGGAACAACAAACTGGGAAAAAACTGGGAAATGACCCTGAAAGCTATTTCAGAATGGTTTTCCAAGCGAGACTGTATAATCATATTTAAGTTATCTTAAATACATTTGTTAGATGAACACATGACTAGGTATTACCCTGCCTGAAGGTGGAAGTCAAGACTTTCTTTGGTGTTTTCTATTTCTGTGGGTCCGTAAATGTACTTTACCAAATCAGATCTTTGGAGCTTCAGAGAAACTGGAAAGAAAATGTCTTGTCCCTATATTTAGTTTGAAAATAATATCTGCATAGCTCTCACCACTTTTCTGCATCCATTTAATGGAGAAATGGCTAATTCTAGAACTAAAGCAGGGAATATACAAGATGCGCCTGGAGCATCTTATAGTATCAGAAAGTAAAGCACCCAAAAGACAAAACAATGGGGTATGTTAAAGGGACACAGGAGCCAACTGAAAGAGTCCCTTACAATTTGAGCAAAGAAGTAATGCAATACTAGATTATAGCCCAAAGAATAAATTTTTAAAAATTTTCAAAAGACCCATGAGTTCATGGGTTTTTTATACAGATATAATTATGTAATGAATTGGGGGGAGAAGACAAAATTCCCACAGAGAAGCATTCCAAATAACACTCTACCCTACCCCTTACATGTGGACTATACTTAGTGACTTGCTTCCAAAGGGTGCAGTATGAAAAGAGGGAGGAAAGTAACTTTACAGTGGAGAAACCTGGCAAAGACTGCCTTAGCCAAGTAATTGAGATTAACATGATCAGAGGCAAGTCACATTGACAGTATATACCCTTGATACAATGTGATGAGAGAATGATACTTCACCTTTGTGGTCTTCCTCCCAAAAACCATAACCACAGTCTAACTGTAAGAAAAACAGACCAGTCCCAGCTGAGGTATATTCTACAAAACATCTGACCAGTCCTCAAAACTCGAAACAGAAACAAACTAGAAACAATTCTAGAAAGTAGAGACTCAAAACAGAAATAAACACTGTCCAAGAAACTGTCACAGCCTACAAGAGTCTAAGGAAATGACAACTAAATGTAATAGGGTACCCTGGAGGAGATCCTGGGACAGAAAAAGGACATTAAGCATAACTAGTGAAATCCAAATCAAGTATGGAGTTCAGCTAATATCAATACCATTTCATTCATTATGACAGATGGACCATAATACTAGATGTTACCAAACAACAGAACTGGATATGGGGCGTATGGAAACCTCTGTACTATCCTTTTACCTAAAAATCTTCTACATCAAAAAGTGTACTTAAATATTGTTAAAATACAGTTTGGGCAACAGGTGACTACATGCTTATCTCCACAACTATGCTTTTAATTACAGGGTGCTGGTGACAGTTTTGTGGGGGCTCTGGCCTTCTACCTGGCTTACTACCCCAATCTGTCCTTGGAAGAAATGCTCAAGAGAGCCAATTTCATCGCAGCAGTCAGCGTCCAGGCTGCAGGAACACAGTCATCTTATCCATACAAAAAAGACCTGCCACTTGATCTGTTTTGATTGCTACTAACCCTAAAATAAATGTACTTGGAAATAAAATGTACTTGGGGGAGGGGGTGGCCACTCTTAGCTAGCAGCTTACTATAAAATATCCTCTTCTCTGTTCTTTGCAAATATGTTCATTTATGAAGTCATACTCAAGCTTTCATTATTTTTAAATTATTTTTCTAATGTTTATTTTTGGGAGAGAGAGAGAGACAGAATCTGAAGCAGGCTCCAGGCTCCACGAACGGTCAGCATAGAGTCAGTATACAAGGTCCTATGTGATCTATATCCTACACCCCTCTCCCTTCCCATGCCATTTCCGCCCATTCTCCCCTCTACGTTCATTTCACACTGGCCTCCTTACCCAACTCAAACCACTTCAGGGCCTCCGCACTTACTGTGCCCTCTGCCTAGAACACTCTTTCCCCACAAGTTGATGTGCCTTACTCCCTCACGTGTGCAAATGTTACTATCAAAGGCCTCCCTTAGACACCCTTTACCCAACACCAACAACTCCCTCTTTCTCTCCACCTGCTTCATTGTTGTGCGTATCAGTTATTACCCACCTGTTTGTTCATTTGTCTCTCCAGAACTTAAGCTCCAGAGCAGAGAATGTTACATGAGGGAAGAGGGCACAAGAAATTGGACCTCGAGCAGTTCCTAAGAAGGACAGCTGACATTCAGTGTTAGAGTTGTCAAAGCTTCTGTTTTGCAAGAGAAGCCAGAAGTCTGGATGTTTATTGAAATCTTTTCAATGTTTAAGGGTCAGCAACTGATTTTTTTAAAAATGTAAACATGGGGGAATGCCTGGGTGGCTCAGTCGGTTAAGCGTCTGAGTCGATTTCAGCTTAGGTCATGGTCTCACAGTTTGTGAGTTCGAGCCCCCGCATCAGGCTCCGTACTGATGGTGCGGAGCCTGCATGGGATTCTCGCTCTCCCCTCTCTCTTTGCCCCTACCCCACTTGTTCTCTCTCAAAATAAACAAATAAACTTAAAAACAAAACAAAACATACTTTTAAAAAAACATAAACATGGGGGCACCTGGGTAGCTCAGTCGTTAAGCATCTGACTTCAGTTCAGGTCATGATCTCACAATTTGTGAGTTTGAGTCCCACATCAGGTGAACTCGAGCCCTGCTTGGGGTTAGCATGAGCCCGCTTCCAGTGAGTGCTGCTTCTCTCTCTCTCTCCCTCTGCCTCTCTTGGGATTCTCTCTCTCTCTCTCTCTCTCTCTCTCTCTCTGCCCCTTGCTCACTTGCACCCTCTCTCTCTCACAAAAAAAAACTTAAAAATGTAAACACCACCTGTGGGCCTGTGTTCAGCTCATGTGCTGAACCTGTGTTCAGCTCCTGTGTTCAGCTCACCACCTGTGTTCAGCTCATGTGCTGAATAGATAAGTCATCTGTTAAGCCAGATTTTATGTTGTTTTGGGTTTAAAAAAAAAAGGCGATTCATACATGTCACAGACCCTTTACATCTGACTTAGCTAGGATCAGGTGAAGGATTTTTCTTGTAACCCAAAATCACTACATATAGTTTCAACCTACAAATAGCCAAGATCTCACCTATTATTGCTTTGAACGAAAGTTTTAACAAAAGATGCCAGAAAATAGTTTATTGACTTTAATGCCACAAGCCACGAAGGCTCAACAACTGTCTACATCTAATTCCATTTTCAGAAAGCTACTCCTGCACGTCCTCCACAGACTGAGCCATGGTGGGGGTGGGGGGCGGTGGGGGGGGACACACCTGTTATTTTGGAATAGCATTGGCTTTGTCATGCTTGAGGCCATGGTGGGCACGCTATCATTCTCCTAGATAAATGCTTTACATGGGGTAAGATTATGAACCAGCAGAGCTCAAAATAAAAGCTGATCCTTCTCACAGTCAGAAATTTGATATATAAAGGAGAAAACTAAATAATCTCTAGAAAAGAATGCAGATTTCAACTCAGATTTCTTACTGAAAATCTGTAGGAAACAATAGCTTGAGTGAGAAAGTATATGGATCTGGGTAGGGCAGGGGTCCTTACGTGAATGTCAGGGATTATCAGTGGAACTTCCAAGCTGGTTAGCTGTGTGGTACCAAGCCCCAGAAGCCCCAGTCATAGCTCTGTGGAAATACACTCTAGCTTTTCTTATTAAAACAAATAAAAACAAATAATTTTTTTTAAAAAGGAAATCTAGGAGATAAAGGGAGTCCAAAGCATTCCTAGAAACTCCTAACTACTGTTTCAGTGACCAGAGTTTGAGAATATGGACCAATGGCATTTTTCCTAATTATATAAGCACAAAACAAAATGAAAGTTCTCATGATTCCTTTTATGTTACAAGGCTGGCCCCCTTCTTATTCCTGTTCACCCTTACCACCTCTGTTATTACACAGTTTTTTCAAGATCACTCTGGAGAATGACTCTGCCTTTCCTATGAAGTACAAAGACGAGCAGACTGGAAAGTCTTGCACAAGTTTCATTATGGAAACTTTCTTTTATATGAAACAATGCTTATTCTTTAGTAATGTAGTTGTTTTTTTTATTTCAAAGAGTGGGGGAAAACATCACTAAGAGACAATAGTACACGCTATTTTAATATTTTTTATTAAGGGCTATAAAAATATCCAGAAAGATAAATAAATGTGATGCAATGATATATGTCCTAATATGAAGAACTTTCTTTCAGTCCATTGTTTTCCTTCACAATGGCCTTCAAATCACAGGAGGCAGTGATTCCGTGCCATTTCCTCTTCTTTTATTACACGCTGCAGAATTTCTGAATCAGTATCCCGCCCTCAGTCTTCTCATTTATAAATCAAATTCATTTTCAATCCATTGTTTAGAGGGAGCGTATTTTTTTCTGTTCCACAAAGAGGACTTTTGTTTTCACTGTAAGAGAAAAATGGGTTGTAGCAGAAAACTAAAAGCATCATCATCATTTTTAAATAAAAATATGTGTCAGACCACAAGCACTCTCTTTTCTCTTATTTTACTATTCCTTTCACATGAGGATGGAGCAGATTTGCAAACTCGGTTCCTCAATCCCAGAGGCCAAAGAAACCTAGAGAAAATGGTAAGGAAATCAAGGGAAGGTTCGCCAGCCAATCAGTGGCATCTCTGGGACACCACAAGGTCATATCTCACTCAATGTGAAATATCCACATTAACAAACAAAACTAGGAGCAAAAAATGGAAAACATCCAATGTCTTCACCCAATTAATGAACACTCTTCCAGGAGAGAGACTAAGAGCTGGACTGAGGAAAAAAAAGCAGCAAGAACTGAGCAGACCAAGCAAAAGGCAGTCTGGCCAGAAGAGTAAATATACATTAAACCTTGTACTTTCCAGAGATGGTTTAATATACCCAAAAACTGATTTTCTTGTATGGTAAAAGAATGAAAATTATAACCAAAATCTCATTACTGAAAATATCAAAACAGTACAGTTCTCTGAAAGAAAGCCAACACAAAAGTACTAACTGCCCAGATGAAAGACTAGAGACTGGATGCTGGGCAGTAAGGTTTTCACTGTTCATGTAATAATGCTTTATAGTACTCCATTAACTTCCAACATATCTCTCTCCCTCTGTCTCTCGGTCTCTCACCACCTACTTATTCCTGGCCAAAAATCCAAAAGCAAACAATGCACCCAGGAAGATCCAGGAACTCAAAGGACTACAACACAACACCCCTCACTTATCCCGATCACACAGACATTTCACTACGGTTTTTCTTCTTCTTCTATAATCAATATGGATACTGTATACATGAGATTCCCAAGCTCTCTATGATTAAGAATAGGCTAGGGAGCTTAATTAAAATACGTTCCTACTTCTCACCTCCACCCCTACCCTAATTCTGGTCTAATACATCTAGAGTGAGGACTGAACATCTACATTTTTACAAAACCTCAGATGATCCTGATGGTCAGCCAGATTTAAAAACTATTAGCCAGGGGGCACCTGGGTGGCTCAGTCGGTTAAGCGTCAGTCTTCAGCTCAGGTCATGATCTCACGGTTCGTGAGTTCGAGCCCCGCATCAGACTCTGCTGACAGTTCAGAACCTGGAGCCTGCTTCAGATTCTGTGTCTCCCTCTCTCTCTGCCTCTCCCCCACTTGCACTCTCTATCGAAAATAAACAAACATTGGGGCGCCTGGGTGGCTCAGTCGGTTGGGCGGCCGACTTCGGCTCAGGTCACGATCTCGCGGTCCGTGAGTTCGAGCCCCGCGTCGGGCTCTGGGCTGATGGCTCGGAGCCTGGAGCCTGTTTCCGATTCTGTGTCTCCCTCTCTCTCTGCCCCTCCCCCGTTCATGCTCTGTCTCTCTCTGTCTCAAAAATAAATAAAACGTTAAAAAAAAATTTTTTTTTAATTTAAAAAAAAAGAAAATAAACAAACATTAAAAAATAAAAAAATAAAAAAACTATTAACCGGTCAACAGAATTTTATCTATGTTAATAAAAAAAAACAAAATATATTATTACACTGTACAGAGGTATTTTTAATATATTCTGAATTATCTAATATTTTAAAAGTAGTAAAGTGTAGTAAAAATATCTAATATTTTAAAAATTGATGCTCCTTCAAAGTCTAAGAGGGACTACAAAGCATTATAAAATGGTAAACCACAATAGTTTCCCATCAAACAATATGATTCACTGCAGAAAATGTTTCCATGTTTTTCTACATGGAACTAAAAAAATGGCTAAAAAGAAAACCAGAACCCATCTCACTGGTAACCAATCAGGAGACTATTTAAATTACCCAGAATAGGAGTGACTAAGATCAGTAAAGCAAGGCTTTATTCATGAAAAATTTCGGATTCACTCACTGAATTCATTCTCTTACTCCAAAGAATAAATATTTCAGTCCACAGAACTGTGCTAAGCAATGTGGAGTTTATAGAAGTATGAGCAGAGCCCCTGAGTGTCCAGGAAGTAGGACCCTAAAGATCAAAGGGACTGGACCGGTAAGGGAACACCTCACGGACAGGGAAAGTTTGGTCCCCGAAAGAGCAGCCTTTGGATGAACTACAAAAGGAATACACATCTGGTACCAAGGAACAGTGGTAAGAGGTAAGAGGACAGTAGGGCTCCATAGCCTTGAATGCTAGGCTGACCCCAGTGGAAGATCCTAATTAAAAAAAAAAAAAAAAATTAGGAAGATTACTTTGGCTCCATGTACTAGAAAAAATAGGGAGCCTGGCGTCGGAAAGATTGGGTTCCAACCTTGGCTCTACCACTTATATCTGCTGGGAGTCCATGGACAAATTTCTCAAAATGTTCTGCTTTCAGTTTGCTTCCCTGTGTGGGGGATAAGTCCATCTCCCTCACAGGGTTGCTGCTAGATACACAGTTGAGCTGAAATAATACACTGCTGTCCATGATCATAAACAAAAATTAATTTTCTGTCAAAATATTTGCTGCTGAATTCATAGAAGAATGAATCTGTCAAGTTCTTTCCTTACGTCTAACCTAAATCAACTCTGCTTCAATTAAAGTCTATATTGTCTTGTTTAGTCATCCAAGGAATCAAAAATGACAAGTTTTCATTTTCTTTACGATAAGCCTTCATATATTCAACAAAGTTTAATAAGCTTATGCCTCAGCATTTGGTCCTTCCTCCTTGGAAATTAGCATCTGGTTTTATATGAAGAAAAAGAGTCTGAAAAGACAGGCTGGTTCTAGCCAGAGTATACTGTGAAATGTTCAAATAATTGGGAATTTTTCTGTTTCCTTACTGATTTCCTTTATAAAGCAGACTAACAAAACATTACCCTTAAACTAGTCATTTATTCACTGCAGTAAAATATGTTGGGAGAACTGCCAAGCTATTTGGTACCTTGGGCAATGGGGCAGGCCCCAAGGCAAACATCATCATGCTAGCCTGCAGGGCATTCAGTAGATGGGCAGAAAGCCAGGCAGTCCACTATCCCGGAACATTCTCTTCTTCAGAAAAGGACAAAGTTGTGCTGTCAAGGTTTAGACCATTCCTTATCAGAAAAGTTCTAACAGTCTTTTATGGATGTTTTCTCCTACTTTCAACTTATGATCAGAACTGTTTATTGTAGTATTCTTTCCCAATCTCAAAACTTAAAATCAATTTGACAAATAAGTTCCTAACACCTCCGTACTAAGGATGAAAATCCCAATACATTCTCATGCTGAAAATATCATAAAAGGTTATTCAACTAACATTTATTAATGTTGTGCATGTTCCTAAATATAAATTCTAAAAGAGCTAAATGCTAGAAAAACAATTACTTTCTGTAAAGTTCATCACTTTGAGCTTTTACCAGCTGATACAAAGAAATCAGGAGAAAAAAAAATCACACCAACTCTATCATATAGCTATAGTCTGAATATTTGTGTACCCCCCCCCTCAAATTCATATGTTGAAATCCTAAACCCCCAATACGATGGCATTAGGAAGCAAGGCCTCTGGTAGGTGCTTTGGTCACGAGGGTAGAGTTTTCATGACCAGGATTAATGCTTTATTAGGAGACCCCACAATACTTGCTTGCCCTTGTCCTCCATGTGAGGACAAGATGACGACACAGGCTGTGAACCAGGAAGAGGGCCTTCACCAGAAAGCAGCCATGCTGGCACCTTGAACTTAGGACTTCCCAGGCCCCAGAACTCTGAGTAATAAATTTCTGTTGTTTATAAGCCACCTAGTCTGTGGTATTTTGTTATAGCAACCCAAAAGGACTAAGAGACATACCTTACCATTGTAATAATTTTTCTACCATATGTGGTCACATCCTAGAATTCAGACTCCCAATCATCAGGTACAAACCTAGAACTCCTTTTATATTATGACAAAGAATGACCAGAAATTTTAACACTGTAAAAACGGCAGAGAATTCTATTTCCGTTAAAGAATGGAAATCATCCAATTTTAAGCTGACAACTGGGCTTCTCAAGAGTCTTTTTTATATGCTCCTCACACTGGTAAGGGCCCTTGTGGGGTTTTTTTGCAGGCGATACTATTTTTATTTTTCTTAGACATTGATGAATGAATGCAGCATAATGAATGGTACAACAGCGGTCATGAGACCTTCTGTACAAACTCTGAAGGCAGCTGTGAATGTAGCTGCTAGTCAGGATTGGCACTAATGCCTGCCCAGAAGTCATGCAATGGTAGGTAGGTTTTAGCCTCCCGTAAAACCTCCCATTCATAGGTCCCTACACAGAATAATTTAGGGCCCGGGGTTTAGAGTCAGAGAGTCTTCAGTTCAAATCTTTGTTCTGAAACGTACTTTAGCTTTGTGTCCTTGATTAAAATCCTTTGCATAAAATTCTTCATCTAGAACATGGAGATCGCCTGGAGAGTATAGGTGCTTGTGTTCATGACATCTGAAGATAGGAGACTTGTGTAGGTAAGCAAAGAAGACAGAAATTTCCATTTTGTCTGGTTATTCACAAGCACTAGTCTGTTTCCTTTCTTTCAGGGCTCATGGTCTTTTATTGCAAATATTGTCCTTTTGTTGTTGTTTCCAGTGGGAAGGGAAATTTGATTCCTATTATTCCATCTTGGCCAGAAGTGAGAGTCTTATTCTTAGTTAATGAAAAAGTTGATTATGAGGTTAAGTATCTTTCATTATATAATGGATTAATTTTGGGAAATAAGATTCTGGTACCAATTCAATCTTGATCACCAAGTGGGTGTCTTACAATTCAGCTCAATTCTGCTCTCTTTTCATGCCCAGTACAGCCACGGCTTGTGGTCCCAAGAAGCATCTGAAGCACGTAGCAGCTCCAAAGACTGGATGCTGGATAAACTGATGTGTTTGCCCCTTGTCCATCTACTGGTCCCCATAAGCTGAGAGAATATCTCTCTCTCATCATTTTCCTAAGGAACAGACTTGAGTATGCCCTCACAGCACATAAAGTAAAGATCAGTATGCAGCATTTTACCAAGATTGATGGCAAGATCCCAACTGATAACAACCTACCCTGCTGGTTTTATGGATGACATCAACATTGACAAGACTGGGGAGAATTTCTGTCTGATCTGTGACACCAAGAGCTGCTTTGCTGTTCATAATATTGCACCTGAGGAGGCCAAGTATCAGTTGTGCAAAGTGAAAAAGATCTTTGTGGGAACAAAAGGAATCCCTCACCTGGTCACCCATTACGCTTGCATCATCTGCTATGCTGATCCCCTCATCAAGGTGAAGGACACCATTCAGACTGATGGTGGAGACTGGAAAGGTTACTGCTTTCATCAAGTTTGGCACTGGTAATCTGTGAGTGGTGACCAGGGATGCCAACCTGGGAAGAATTGGTATAATCACCAACAGAGAGAGAGAGACACCCTGGTTCTTTTGATGTAGCTGACGTGAAAGATGCCAATGCAAGAGCTTTGCCACTTGGCTCTCCAACATCTTTGTTATTGGCAAAGGCAACAAACCGTGGCTTTCTCTCCCCCTTGGAAAGGGTGTCTGCCTCACCATTGCTGAAGAGAGAAACAAGAGACTGGTGGCCAGAGCAGTGGATAAAATGGTCTGTAGGTGATATGATTGGAAGTCTTTATACTTAATTAAAGATAATACAGCATGATTAAAAAAAGAAGGAAAATTCTGACATGATCTACCAGTTATTAGTAACTCAGGAACAGTCAGATGGAAGTGACGCATAGGTGTGGGCAAGGGGCGCACAGGTCACTCTCCCATAGTCAATACGTGTTCACCAACCCAGAAGCTCCAGTACAGTTCTTACTAAGAAACATTTATAAAGAGGCTGTTCAGAATCAAGGGCACAAAAATTAAGCAAATGGCCTGGAGTTTTAAAATAAATCATTGGTGGGGCGCCTGGGTGGCGCAGTTGGTTAAGCATCCGACTTCAGCCAGGTCACGATCTCGCGGTCCGTGAGTTCGGGCCCCGCGTCGGGCTCTGGGCTGATGGCTCAGAGCCTGGAGCCTGTTTCCAATTCTGTGTCTCCCTCTCTCTCTGCCCCTCCCCCGTTCATGCTCTGTCTCTCTCTGTCCCAAAAATAAATAAATGTTAAAAAAAAAAAAAAATTTTAAAATAAATCATTGGTTTGCTAGTTTACTTCACATAACTCTGCTCACAAAACCCAAAAACAAAACTGGGCTTCTACCAATAGCAATCAGCTGCTGTCTTTTGTAAGCAGGCAATCTTGCCTTGGAAACACTTGTCTCTTCTAGACAAATACTTCTACCTACCGAGACTATTTAAAGTTACCATTTATTATGGCATTTTAGCAGAGAGTACAAATGACATTTCTTAACTTCCTCCATCAATATATAGATACCATACTCCTTTAATTCAAATCGGGACCTAACTGCCTGCCACTGTTAAATGATCCCAGGAGAATATTCCCTCCCCTTCTGAAGACACTCTTTTCTTTCCGTTTCCAGAACAGTATCACCTATTCTGTTTACATAGCTGGTTTCTTTACCAGATCTATCCTATTCAAGAATAAGACAAAGGTGGAATCTGCCTCTCCCCAACTTTATCGTGTATCTCAGCATCCTGCTTGTGTCTCTCAAAGAACTCAGCAGAACGTCATTTTTTTTTCTTTTTTTTTTCTCTCCCTTCCAAAACAGACTGTATGTACCAAGAGTGCAGGGACTGGGCCTGAAGGTGTCCTGGTGTATCCCACCACTTGGGATAGTAAGTGGCACCATAGTAAACACTCAACATATACTTGCTGACTGAATGCTACAGTGTCAGAGGGGCCACAAAAATGGCCAAAAGACGTTCAGCATCAGTCTGGAAAGGGCAACAGGCCTTGAAAGCATCTGAATTTACTGTGGAGTAATTTATCTGAATCTTACCAATTGGATCATAATGTAAGAGAGTCAGTTTCTCCCGTAGTCGGCTTCTCTTAGTGTTGAAGGAGTAACCTGTCCCAGCTTGGCTTAGCATTTTCACCAGAATGGTTCTAAGATTTAAAAATAAGCTATTATAAGCTGAGGAAATAAACTAAAATCAGTCGTGGGAGGACGACACCTTTTGAGAACTCTGTAGTGTTAGCTGTGGGATATCAACCCAAAAAGGTTCAGTTCTAAGACAGCCTACATTTTCCATAAATCACAATTTCAATGGTTCTGATTTCCAAGGTCTGTTCTATTATAGAATACCTTGGCAATCAACTAACCAAGCAACAAGAACAATCAAACCACGTTGTGGAACAGACTCAGACACTCACCTCTTAGAAGGAGAAGTCAGGAAGGGGGGGGGGGGGGAATACAAAAGTGCTGGTAACTCTAGCTGGCTAGTCAAGAAATCATAAAGCTGGCTATCACAAAAGAGCCCTATCTTCCAGGATGTGTGTAATTGGGAGTAAAATTAGACAGGGACAAAATAAAAGGATGGTAACTTTTACACTATTAACATGCAAAATCTTGTTCTCCCTCATATTGTGTTTAAGTTATAGTCATCCAAAGCATAAAGTTCATGTTTTGCCTCACTAGACCTTCTAATCCCTTGTACTGTTACTTGTTTGTGTGTCTGGCTTCCCTATGTAGACCATGCTATCTTATTTCTTAACTATTCCAAAGAGAATCTGTAGCATCTATAATACATTACACATCGGGGCGCCTGGGTGGCTCAGTCGGTTAAGTGTCCGACTTTG